GGGGGGTCCCACCCCTGTGACGAGAGGCGGCTGCTTCTGGGGGGTCGCAATGGCTATTGGATAGTTCCCTGAGCACTGAGGAAGCAGCTAGAATGAGTCTGGGAAGCAAACACCCCGACTCCCAGGGATTGGTAACACCCGTGGGGTGTCAAGGGCTTGGGTTTATGCCGCTAGGAAAAGTCACCCCTCCATACACCCTGCCCCACAGCACCCCCGTTACCTCCGTGCCTGCCCGGGGAGAGCCCCCACCCTCCCCCTGCAGCACAGCGCGCCCTAGTAGGAAGCAGCTAGAATGAGTCTGGGAAGCAAACACCCCGACTCCCAGGGATTGGTAACACCCGTGGGGTGTCAAGGGCTTGGGTTTATGCCGCTAGGAAAAGTCACCCCTCCATACACCCTGCCCCACAGCACCCCCGTTACCTCCGTGCCTGCCCGGGGAGAGCCCCCACCCTCCCCCTGCAGCACAGCGCGCCCTAGTGCCACACTGGGGCCATGGATCCAGCACCGCTCCCCTACCAGGCTTTAGTTTCAGGCCGTTCTCCAGGTACTCGTCCTCGGTGATCGGCCGCCCGTCCAGCTCCAGCTGCAGCGTGAAATCCCGCACGGCCCACACGAAGGCCGGGAAGAACCGCACGAACTCGGCCGAATCCTCCCGCTCCTGCCGGTCGCCCTCGCCTGCCGCCTTCACCTTGATGCGCTCTGACAGCTCCGACACGTAGCTGGGGGCGGCTAAGGAACCCGAGGTGCAGCGCCCCCTGCGGGGTGTCTCTGAGCCCAGTGCCCAAGGGACTAGGGGGAAGGGAGGATGTGCCAGCACAACCCTCAGGAGAAGGGATCAGACCCATCACATCTGGGGGCCTCTGCACGTAATGGAGCAATTCCGCCGGCTGGTGGCAGTAGTGGGTTGTTACCCCTGGTGTGGAGCACCCACTAGAGGGGCCTTGGTGCACCCCCTGTGCCACAGTCATGATTTCGCTGGGGGTGCATGGGGCTGTTCCCTGGGGCGATGGGTCCCCCTCCAGCAAGGATACTGCAGCTGGTCCAGGGCGTACTGGTCGATGGTCCCTTTGCTGTTGTAGACCAGGGTGCTGCTGAGCAGCACGGCCAGGGAGAAGATCCACGTGTCGTTCTTGGTGTCGCCCTGGAACAACACCCCCCGTCACCGTCCCGAGCACGGCCCAGCCGCAGCGCTCACAGCCGGATCGCCAGCCCCACCGCACAGGTGGGGAAACTGAGGCACAGAGGGGTGGCCGAGCCCAGACGTCCAGTGGACCAGCCCCCAGCTCTGCAGAGTCCCAGGCCAGAGTGAATTTCCCCCTCTCGCAGCTCAGGCCCGTGTGACGCAGTGGGGGATGGGTTGGCTCCTCTCGTCCCCATAGTCACACTGGTGTGTAGTCACTCGGTTTGCTTTGTTGTGTTGTGGGTGATCCTGCTGTGCGGGGCTCTGCGGGGGTGTGTGTGTGTGTGTGTGTGTGTGTGTGTGTGTGTGTGTGTGTGTGTGAGTTTCCCCGGGCACTGCGACAGATCTGCACGAGGAGGAGGAGACCGGGCAGGACTCACTGGGGAAGTAGGTTCAGTCTCTCCCGGCCTGAGGCCCAGGTGACAGCAGAGAGAGGACAAAGCAAGGGGCAGAGATGCCTCCAAGCTGGGGAAGCAGTAGCTGGTGGGGGAGCTGAGATTTTGGGCTGGCTTAGGGAGGGGGGAGTCTGGCTGGCTTGGGGGTCTGGGCAGGGGCTCTGATCTGGGGCTCTGGAGGGCCCTGGATCTGCCCCCTCTCCCCCCCCAGGCTGGCTGCTCCTGTGACAACAAACCTGGGCTACACTGTGTCCATGGGACCCCATAGACCCTCTCCTCTACCTGCCGCCTGAGAGTCCCACCTGGCCGGGGGTGGGGGGGCAGGGCCCGGGGCCTCCCCCACCCCGTGACCCCCAGCCCCCGGA